ATATTCTATCAAATGATTTCGTTATTGTCTTCAATTCACTATTATTTGTCTACAAGTTTATAACTACTGAGTTGTTACAGTACATACCCTTTATTTCAATGTCATATGTTCAAACACATATATATTCATTACTATGATGTTAGCTTCCGGGTGAACTCAAGGAAGCTCAGAAAAAGCCGAAGACATTCCATCCAATCATCTTTTGGTAAAAACATTCTAGAATCTTGATGTGTAGCTTCTCAATTGGACAAATGCTGAAAACCAATGCATGCGGATTGAATAACTGTAATGATGATTTCGTTTTTACTAAAAACTATAAATACCTGAAAGTTGTATACCATATTTGACATTAGAATAACATTTGTCACAACAAATATGAATCAAATTATTTTCTGAAGACATTTGATAAGTGGCATCCAGCATTATGTTTCACATTTGAAGTTGAAAAAAAACAAAGTATTCACTTTCTTGACGTGAAAATGACAAGAAAACAAGATGGATTTCTAAGAAGATCTATCTATAGGAAGCGCATGTGGAATGGCCAACTATTAGGTATTCACATCTAGGTCCCCATTAAAAGAAAACAAAACTTAATAACATCATTCGCTAGGCGAATACGAAGAATTTGTAGTCCAGAAATCATAGACAACAAACTGAGACTGTTGAAGAAAATACTTATCGAAAACGTATATTCTTCGACACGCAGTAATAATGGCTGGTGACTTCAATGCTCAAGTAAGTAAACTAAGAGAAAGGAAAAGACACCTGGGTGGATCTTATGGTGTCGCCGCTCAAAGAACAGATAACGGCGACCGTCTGTTGCAGTTATGCTCAGATAACTGCCTGTTTCTTCCAAACATTAACTTTAAGCATAAGGAAAAACATCTTTTGACATGGCGACCCCTTAATTCGTCCCAAAGCCGGACCCAAACAGATCACATCACTATCAGCCAACGATGGAGGGGCTCGATAGAAGACTGTCGCTCATTCTGGAGCACATGCTTAGACTCAGATCATGCTCTAGTGCGAGCGCGTATTTGTCCACGTCTTACTGGACGTAGGAAAGACGCTGCAAGGAAATCCCTTAGGGTCCTACTTAATGATAGTCAAGCTAAGAGTATATTTCAGGAACAACTAGAAAATCAGTTAGGCAGCCATGTAAGTGATGCTCACCCCGAGGCAGCGTGGAACGACATCCGAAAAGCTGTAGAAACAGCAGTGATGTCTGCAAGTACGGTAAACCATAAGGTTAGGGAGAAACACTGGATCTCAGCAGCATCTACCGCACTGATAGATGCTCGTAAACTAATTCCATCTGGCTCTGAACATAACGAAGAGCGGAGTCAGCTTAAGCGTAAGCTGACTAGAAGCCTACGCAATGGTTGTGGACAGTGGTGGGTAACGAAAGCAAGAGAGATGGAAAAGGCAGTGGCAATAGGTAACAGCGGGCAACTGTTCAGACTTGTTAAGGAAACCGGTATTAGGAACCCAACTGTTAGCGAAACAATCGCAGAGAAAGATAGACATATTATTCATTCTCAATCCAGGAGATTGGATCGATTGGCAGAATACTTTAGGGATCAGTTCAACTGGCCTTCAGTCACAATTCGGTTTCCCACGATCTCCAATCTACCTGAATGGCAAGTTAATGTAAGTCCTCCGACTCTTTACGAAGTTGAGAAAGCTATAGGAAATCTGAAGCGTGGGAGAGCAGCAGGCCCTGACAGGTTTACCCCTGAGATTTTTAAGGATGGTGGTCTAGTATTAGCAGCGAGATTGACTGAGGTCTTAGGTAGAATCTGGAAACTGGACGTAATCTCATCTTACTGGTCTCAATCACTGATTGTGCCAGTCTATAAGAAAGGAAAAAAGTCCTCCTGTGACAATCACAGAGGACTTAGTTTGACTAATATAGTGTCTAAAATATAAGCTTCAATAATACTTCGACGTCTAACCAAAACTCGTGAAGAGCAGACTAGAGAAAACCAGGCTGGGTTTCGACCTGGACGTGGTTGTATTGATCAAATATTCACATTACGTCAGGTCCTATAACATAGACACACATTCAGACGCCCCACAATGGTAGTATTTCTCGACCTTAAAGCGGCATTTGACTCTGTTGATCGTGAGGTTCTATGGCAGTGTTTGTCACTGAAGGGAGTACTAAAGAAGTACATCAACCCTATAAAGGCTCTCTAGTCGAACACAACTGGTCGAGTGAGAGCTTATGGCGAACTGTCATCAGAACCGATTACCTCAAGTGGTGTTCATCAGGGCTGCCCACTCTCTCCATTATTGTTTAACTTTGTCGTTGACGTCCTTTTAGAGATGACACATTCCTCATCTAAATTTCCAGGAGTTGAACTTCTACCGGAAGATCCACTTGTTGACTTAGAATATGCCGATGACATAGTTCTATTTAGTGAAGACGCTGACAAAATGCAGTCTTCTGACCACTATAAGCAACAATGCAAGCATGTTCGGCATGCGATTTTCTCCCTCGAAATGCAAAATGTTGCTTCAGGATTGGGTTGCACCGCCACCCGAACTAGTGATAGGGAGTGAAGTAGTTGAGCGTGTCGACAGATTCATTTATCTCGGAAGTCTCATCAGCCCTTGTGGTCTGGTGTGTAACGAAATCTCAGCACGGATACAGAAGGCTCGACTAGCTTTTGCCAACTAGCGTCATTTGTGGCGTAGGCGAGATATCCGTCTACCAACCAAAGGACGTGTTTACTGCGCAGCAGTTCGTTCCGTCCTGTGTTGCGCATGTCCGACCACCGACTGCCCCAACTTGCAATGTTTTATGGTGTAGGAGTAGGTTGGAAGAAAGCCAGGGGCTACCAGAACATGGTACAAATCCATGAAGTCACTGACAAGTGGACTGAGTCATGATGGTAGGTGTAGACTACTTGGTTGTGGACCGCGAGATGATAGCAATCGATGGTTAGAGACCTTGAATGACATGGCTCAAAATCGTTTGCAATGGCTCAGGTGCATCCACTCTCTGTGTTCTCTCAAACTCTAATCTCCTGAAGTTTTCATGTTCCTTATTTTCTTTCCAAATTTATTTCACTGGATTATACTTCTTAAATAACATCATCAAACCCTAATGCTCCCTATCACTACTTATACTTTCACTACCTCTACCACAGTGGGATTTGAATCGACAATTGTATATGTGTTAATGTAGTATGGCAAATCGAACTTATTTACGTACATACGAAGTTCCACATTGTTAATGACTGACTGATCTCTCGTTATAACGCTTGTGAATTAAAGCAATATCGAGGCAATATGCACATAAACCAATAAGAGACTGACAAATTTCAGACCTAAACATCAATGGGAAGATTTAAGAAAACAATACCAAGTGAATTTAAAAATAATCTCAGTTGGAAGGAAAACACTTAACATGAACATCGATTTCAGGGATGATAGAGTTACAGACGTCCTAAAGAGGAGAATTCCCGATTCTCTAAAAATAACGTTTACCAAATAGTGTTCTCCAGCCGATCAATGTTATTTAATAATCCTAAGGATAAATCGTTTCATCTGGCCAGTTATACGTGAATTCATCAATTTACCTGTTCATGTTAAGCCAGGTATATAGGTCGTTCGATGTGTAGAATTTCAGGCGGCCTACTTGAATATCTGGGCTACCTGTTCCTGCCATCTGGATATTTCAACAAGTTATCTGTTTTATTGTTTGTTTTAACACATCATTATGTCTAATAATCGCATAACCTATTCAGGTGCCTTTGTGAAACGTTTACAACATTTCATTATACAAGTTAGGAAAGAGCACAATCAAAGGCATTTTTGTTACTGGCAATATACATCGAAAACAATGTAGATTATTCAGATGTCATCCTGAGCCATCGTTTCTCAATTATAATCTCCCTATATATCTTCACGGAAATACAATTAGTTTCCCTGATAAAAAAGTTACCTTTGTTAGCTCTTCCTCACTATTTCCATGTTTAACACAAAAGTGTACTACCGTAAATGAGATGTATTTTAAGATGGTGAAGATTTGTAGATCAGGTGGATGATTTTGTTGGAGATTTGTTCTCTGAGCTGGATGCTTTGGTCGTGAAGCATTCATCGTTCTTCTGAACGACGATCCAACTCAGAAAACAAAATTCCATCAAGACGTAATTTGAATAGGATAAAATTGATCTATTCTAATGTTTCTTTACATCTTAATTCTAACACTTTATCTTATCGTGCTGAGCTCTCCTTTCTCAACTATAACGCAGGAGAAGACGACCAGTGCAGAAGTAGCCTCAGTAACATTAAGTCTCAACATACCTAAAGGGAAAAGCAAGATTCTCCGATACAACACAGTATGCAATAATGAAATCACACTTGACGAAGATTTGGAAGATGCAAAAACCTTTACATGTCTGGGCAGCATCATTTATTAACACGGTTGTGGGTCTGATGCAAATGTGAAAACGGAGATAGGCAAAGTAGGAGCATCATATTTATAACTGAAGAATATCTGGAACTCAAAACAGCTGTCTGTCAACCAATATCAAAGTCAGAATCTTCAATACGAACGTCAAGGCAGTTCTACTGTATGGGGCGGAAACCTGGAAAACCACGAAAGCCATCATCCAGATTATACAAGTGTTTATTAATAGCTGTCTACGCAGAATATTTCGAATCCATTGGCCAGATACTATCAGCATCAACCTACTATATGAGAGAACAAACCAGATCCTGGCGGACGAAGAAATCAGGAAGAGCTTTTGTAAGTGAATAGGATACACACTGAAGAAAGCACCCAACTGTGTCACAAGGCAAGCCCTTACATGGAATCCTCAAGGCCAAAGGAGGAGAGGAATACCAAACGACACATTATACCGGGAAATGGAGAGAGACATGAGAAAAATGAAGAAGAATTGGATGGAACTAGAAAAGTAGGCCTAGGACAGAGTGGATTGGAGAATGCTGGTCGGTGGCCCATGCTCCATTGAGAGTAACAGGCGTAAGTAAGTAAGTAAGTAAGTAAGTAGTGTTTCCTACACAAATACATGTATAACCGATGAAAAGCTACATAGAACTATAAACACTAATAATTAAGTTCATTTTATTTCGAAAAAAAACAAACAAACAAATATATTGTTTACAATCATTCATACTCTGTTCATGGAAAAATAAAGAAATTTTTTTCTAGAAAAAAAAACACAATACAAACAAGAAGAAGGAAATTAGCCTCCTTCTCCTCTTCCTCCTCCTCCTTCATTTATACATCACTTTACTATTTTATGCATATATACATATATATGTATGTTGATGCGTACAGAAGGAGGGATGGAGGGTAGGGGATAAATTAGCAAATATGAAATGTCAAATACAATGATCAAGTATACAAATAATAAATTTTCTATTAGAAAAAAAAAACAAAAACAAAACAAAAACAAAACAGAACAAAAAGGAAACTCCATATAAATCATACTTCAAGAAGATTTCAATCATTGAGCAAAAACAAAAAAAGAAAAACAACAACAAAAGAAAACTCGATCGTTTCAATGTTTATTATGATTGAATACACTTTGATTACGTAATCAAGATGATAGGCAACAAAAAAAAAACATGAAACACTCTTTATATTTCATCAATATTATCTGTTTCTTTTTTTTAAAACAAGATTTAACAACTACTCAAATGATAGTGAATAATAAGAATAATTTTTTTATTTTATATTCAAATCTATTCTATACTACTTATTTAATATCATCTAATAAGTAGTATGATAGTTTATATTTAAAAAAAACTATTTCTAATTATATATATGCATAAAATGAAATGGTTTATTAAACTAATTGATATAATACTTTCAATAGTTGAGATCATGATTCCATTGAAGCTAGATTACCATGGAAATATACCTGGAAGCTTTCAGCTTCAATTATCTCATATAATCTATACCATTGAAATTACTTATAATATTCACAAAAACCCCTTCTGATATTATTTATAAGAAATCCCTTAAAGAACGATTACATATAGAATATTTGTTTGTATACATATTCTGTAATAGTTTCATTTACACATACACACGCACGTACGCACGCACACATACATACATACATATGTTTACAAAAAAAAGGAGATAGGAAGGGGTAAAATTGTACCGGAAAATGATGCAAATTATTATTAAAAGGAAAATACCTGGATAGTAAAATAGTCATCACATTGTTATTCATTTTAAATTTATTACATAATCATTAGTAAGTGATCAATAATAAAAAGAACAAATATATATGTTAATCTTCAAGTGGATACTTTTCAATTCGTTCACGTATTTCATCCAGTGTATAATCTTTTAATAAGACACCATTTTCATAAACTGGGATAAGTAAATCCTATAAAATAGAAAAGTAAATTGTAATACAATTCATGCTTATGGATACATATATTACTATTATTCAAACACTTAAACACTTTATCACAATATTATGATAATACTATTGATTGTAACAGCAGCCGCTCCATCAATAGGCCTCAACATGTACAAAGGGAAAACTAAGGTCCTCAAATACAACACAGAGAACACCAACATAATCATACTTGATAAAGAAAATCTAGAAGATATGGAATCTTTCATATACCTAGAAAGCATCTATGTTACAATCTTCAAGGCAAACATCAAAACAGTTCTACCGTACGGAGATAAAAAATCAAAATGCTTAAAATTAAAACGTACGGAAACACAAGGAAATAATGATAAACTTCAGGAGTCATAAAAGTAACTGTGAGTAAATGATCATTTTTCTTTTCTGTATTACTTTTTCCAATACGAACTTCTCAAAATAAACTTAACATATTTGAGTTTCAAGATGAAAATACAACCTATGAAATTTTGATGAAGTTTTCTTCTGTAAGCTGGATGGTTTGATCGTGGAGCTTTCATCATTTTTTTCTGAACGACATCATCAGCACTTCTATCTGAAGTTTGTGCTACGGATGATGTCGTTCAGAAGAACGATGAAATCTTCACGATCAAACCATTCAGCTGAGAGAACAAAACTTCATCAAAATCATCTACCTGAGCAACAAATAATCTTCATCATCTCACAAACTATGTAAGTATACATTCATATTTCTACAAACTATTCTTTTATTCATTAATATTAACTTTCAACTCTAATCTTTATTCTTAATCTGAACTCCAAACATTAACTGACTTTGTTTTGTTTTCTTAAAAGAAACGTTGAATTATTTTGTATGAAGACTTGGTACACTATTATAAGATAACATTTAGAGGGTAAGACTATAATATAATTTATGAACGATCTTTGAGCGACGTTGAAGTGACCTTGAGAGTGTTCACTTAATAACCAGGATTAAATGAGGGTTATGAACCTACGTGAACAATTATAATTATAATTTACAGTTGATGATTACGGTTAGGAAATTAGACTTAGGGTATTCATCACGAGCTGATATCAGTTATCATGCTAAAATTCTATTTAGCTAAATGAATGGATGAATTTCATGCCAAAATCCGAGATCTATGAACTTATACATGATTGGTTCATCTTATTCATTTAAAGTAATCCAAAGTTGTTGATAGGCTTCTATTGTTTCACAACTTTAATTCTTAGAAAACATAAATAAATCATACAAAATAGTTAACAAAGAATAAATAAATAAATATAAATGATTGAAAGTACACATAATACATCAATACAACAATGACTGATAATAACTTACATTATATGGACTACCACAACCTTCTTCTACAGTTATAAGTATACCGGTTATTGGACATTTTTCTAATGTTAAACGACCTTTTTTCGAATTTTTTTGTGGATCAGTGATTGGATGTTTGGAAACTTGAATCTATTAACAAAGAGATAGATATTGAATGAAAAGAAAAGAGGTTTATTAAATGAATAAAATAAACAAATTGAATAAATAATCTAGTTCTTTGTGAAACGGATATATTTTGTGATAGTAGTACTTTGGAAGTTAACTATTCTATCTACTACTTTAATTTAGATAACTATATAGTAAGTAGTATGATTAGTTGTCATGCAAATAGTATGGCTTACAAGTCAAAGTGTATAAATTTGTACTAAGTAGTAGTAGTAGTACTTTGGAAGTTAACTATTCTATCTACTACTTTAATTTAGATAACTATATAGTAAGTAGTATGATTAGTTGTCATGCAAATAGTATGGCTTAAAAGTCAAAGTGTATAAATTTGTACTAAGTAGTAGTAGTAGTACTTTGGAAGTTAACTATTCTATCTACTACTTTAATTTAGATAACTATATAGTAAGTAGTATGATTAGTTGTCATGCAAATAGTATGGCTTAAAAGTCAAAGTGTATAAATTTGTACTAAGTATTAGTAGTAGTACTTTGGAAGTTAACTGTTCTATCTACTACTTTAATTTAGATAACTATATAGTAAGTAGTATGATTAGTTGTCATGCAAATAGTATGGCTTAAAAGTCAAAGTACTAAGTAGATAATAATAATAACAATAATTATTATTATTTAATTACCTTATGACCATTAACTATAGCAAAACTTGATTTGAAAGCACATTTTTGTGTATCACGATTTAAACGTTGTAATAATGCACCACCACTCCCAAAACTAACATTTTCAGCACTCCAACCAGCTATTTTGATACTATTCAGAATAGGATCTTAATGAGTTGAATAAATTAAGAAAAAAAAATGAGGACAATAATGATGAAAGATAATTAAATTAGGTAAAATAAATAAGAAAGATGTTATTTGTAGACAATTCAAGACTATAACAGGATACTACCATTAAGTCAGAATCAATGTAGAGACTGACACAAACTTGTCAGTCATTAACAACGTAGAACTTCATACGTACGTACATCAGTTCAATTTGCCATAACACACTAGCACACACATACAATGGTCGATTCAAATCTCATAGTGGTAAAGATAATAAGAGTGTAAGCAGTAATCGGAAACATTAGGGTCTGACGATATTACTGAAGGAGTATAATACAGTGAAATAAATTTCAAAAGGGAAAAATATAACGAACATGAAGAATTCAGAAGATTAGAGTTTGAGAGGACACTAACAGTGGATGCACCTGTGCCATTGCAAACTGTTTTTAACCATGTCATTCGAGGTCTCTAACCATCGATTGCTATTATCTCGCAGATTCCAACCAAGTAGTCTACACCTACCAACATGACTTAGTCCATTTGTCAGTGACTTCATGGATTTGTGCCATGTTTTGTTCTGACCACCCCTAGCTTTCTTCCAAGTTTTACCACTTCATCAATTGATTTGCCATCCTTACCTAGTACCCGTTTCCTAACAACTGTATTACTAACTCTATGGTCCCAGGATATACGAGCAATGTTTCGAAGACACCTATGATCGAATACTAGTAACCTACGAATATCCTCTACTATTACAGGCCATGTTTCACTGCCATAAACTTGTACTAATCTAGGTTTCTATACTACATTAGCATGACGAGATTAAGTTAACAAGATGGGAAGAAATTACGTATTACCCTCAGATAACCAGAATCTGTGGCGAAACTAGCTTCCTATCATGGAAAAAAGGTTGACAAAACATCGGCACTAAAAGTAGTATAGCTCAATTTGCCCAACGGGTTTCCATTAGTAACAGTAAGGCATTTAAATTAAAGAGCTAATATATTAAATTCTAGATACAAAAAAGCTTTATGTGACCGGTCTCAAGAAGTTATCGTTTGGACATTGCGGTCACGCACCCAGAGCGTCAAAACCACTCCTAACGCAGTTTAATTTTTCATTTATATAAATAAATAGCATAATACCATGATTTCAGTAAGTCAGCCAACAACATAGAACTTCTTACGTACGTACATCTAGTATGTGACTTGTTAACAGTGAGTTCTCACGAAGTCACCAATGACCAGATCCAAAACCTTCAAGCCATGCGGCGAATGTACAATTACTAGAACCACTGATTTGATATTCAATGGTTTACAATATTGATCAATCATATTCCAATGTCATTACAAATGGATAAAATGCTTAACTACTATAAATCTTAAGCATTCCACAAAGGAAAATGAAGATAAACAAAAATCTAATAAGCAATCCAATTTACTTACCTAATGATTCTAATGAAACACCATCACCTTGTATAACTCGTATACACGATGGTAGAACTTTGTAACCTTTAGAATTGATTTTATATCCAAACTTGCTGCCTAAAATATCTAATACTTTTGGCATAATTACAACTGGATCACCTGAATCCGGTCGAATAACAACTGTACCATTACGATTTATAACCTAAATTACAAAACAAAAAAAAACAGCAATAAACAAATGAAAAGACTCATTAACCTTAATAAGTTGGTAACGGAAGAAATCTATACTTTGCAAACGTGTAATTATTTGTGTGACAGATACACCTATAATATATACGGAACAACAACTGGTTAAAAAATAGACTTAAAAAAAAAGAGGTAAGGGTGATTAAATTAAAATGCGAAATCAGTTCGTGAAATCATAAACTGTTAGAGTGAACAAGTTTGACAGGTACAGCTACACATCAAACAATTATAAAGAGCAGCTGACAACACAAGTACATAGTCGTGAAATGATTAAAGTCACAAATATAAACTATAAGCTTTCAACGCAGTTAAGGGGTGTGGATCCGTAAATTAGGATAAATCAACTACCTATTTCTTCTTTATGTTTGATTATTACATGATAACACTAGCCCATGATAAGAACTCCATTCATTGAAAATTTACTTGAAATACAAACAAACCTACTAATTTAACAAACGGTAAACAATACAAATAACTCCGCCTGGAGCCCCTCTGACCAGTCAGTCAGTCAGCTACAACGTAGAACCAGGCACGTATATGCATCGGTACAAGTTTCCATACCTCATTAACACAACAACATGAACACCAAATTCATAAACCTAGTTAATTCAGTGGTGATAATATATAAAAGAAAGATTGCATATAAGGATATAGTACAGGAAGAAAGCTTTAGTACGTAGAAAGAAAGATATGGAGCGATTTTAATCTCATAGTTTAAGGGAAGATGGAGAGTGTATACACCGACGCTATTGTGATCGATTCTGAGCCATGTCACCCAAAGTCTCTAACCATTGGTTGCGATAGTCACGTGGACGCCAACCAAGTAGTCTGCATCTACCAGCATGGATAAGACTAGAAGCTAGTGACTTTAAGCCCCTTTGAGACTATTGCCGGTCCCATGTCCGGATAAATGAGGAGGGTTAGGCATGGGATTAACGATTCCATCCCGAAGAAAACTAACTCGCTAAAAAAACGCTAACCAGAAAAAATAATTCAAACCATTTAAACTCTGCCATGGGAGTTAGAAGGTCTTCCTTTAGAAGAGTTTTGATACCTCATGGTGAAAGCCGAACCCCTTATGCCAATCAGGGCAATCTTTGGCACCTTTGTGATGTTAGTGTGGCTGTAAAAGTTCGGATCTACAACACGTTGGTGAGAGCAGGTTTACCCTAATGCTTATGAAATTTGGCCTCTCCGAGTTCAGTATGTTAAACGACTCTGTGTTTGATCGTCGTTTTCTCCAATGGATAGCTGACATTTAATGGTAACATCATGTTAGTAATTCTGAGGTTTGGCAACATATATTCGGGCACATGGACGATAATTTAATTAGCGTCATTATTTTGAAATATCGATTTCGGTAGCTTGAAAATGTCTTACGAATGTTGTCCAAAAACGCTCGACGTCGTGCATTATTTGCCGACGGTAGGATCAGTTGGAGAAGGCGAAGAGGTGGTTAGTGTATGACAGGGTGTCATGGTATGAAGTGAAGCTGTACAGAACTGGCTTTCGTTTGTCCTTCACGACTCCCTAGTTGAAATGCTAGAGATGGTGCAACACAGTGGCTTGAGACGTTATCATACATTCCTGAGAATAGAAGCCAGTAGCGATCCAGCAGTAACTTTCTTCATCAAACAGAACGTAACTTTGACTGAAATAAATCCTTCTCGTTGTACTTTTGCTAAATGAACTGTTTCTCTCATTATTATTATTACTATTATTATTATTTTACTCTCATACACTAACTTCTGTTCGTTGTTGTTCTCCTTTAACTTATACGCATTTTACATTCTCTAATTCTTCACAACCTCATTGTTATTGTGTGGCACATATGTATTTGATGCTCCCCTATACCAATGTTTATGTGTTCAAATAAATAAATAAATAAGAACGAGATGTTACTGAATATTTATGAAAATAAACACAGTTTCCATATCACAGATAAATCACAAGGTACCTATACCATCAACGATAGCTAAACAACACATGGAAGCTATTTTTTATTTTTGTTTAGAACTACACAATAATGTTAAACAACAATTCTAACAATCATCAAATTCAGAAAATATAGAAACAGTGGATGGTTGTTGTGGTTTTTTTTAAATCAAGCCTATAACATTTTATATCTTACTAATATGTATTATCAGAGGAATTATTGCAGCTTTGTAGAAACCATAGGAATGCTAGTAAATTTATACCTCCTATATATACCTATATGTACCTAAAATCTATTTTGTTCTTAATTTTGAATCAGTTAATCTGGTCATTATTAATTGCCCCCAAATGCCCTGGTACGGCTGAGAGTGAAAAGAGTGCACTCTCCCTCTTGAAATGCTCTCATATTGCCACGTAAATACAGTCACTAACAGGGAAGTCCTACTTACTGCCTTCTTGCAGCGGGGGTGTTGTTTACGAAATTGAGAGGACGAAAAGTGAATGTCCATCGCTGTAACCCGGTTGGTGAACACAGAGAATCCACTTAGAGAAGTTGGAAATCCCTAATTCTAAAACCAATGGTGTACATGGGCTCCAGGATACTAAGGAAAAAAATGATGTATGAACCCATTGTTGGTTACTGGCTACCATGAGACTGCATCTCCTGATATTATTCCACTGTCTTGTGGATTAGACCTTTATGTCAAAGGCTCCGGGTATGGCCCTCTAAGAAAACCACCCGCTTCGGTTTGAGCACCCGGGCACTAACCCATCCCTCACACAAATCAAATGATTTATGTGGTGCATATCTATTTGGTGTCTCCTTGTACCAATGTTTACGTGTTTAAATAAACAAATAAAATAATTGTTAATGGGTTTCCAGAAAAAGAAAACTAACAAACAAAAATCAAAAGTAGTTTAATACAACTTATCATAAATAACATCATCAAACTCTAATGTTCCCTATCACTACTTATACTTTCACTACCTCTAACACTACGGGATTTGAATCGATAACTGAATCTCTGTGCTAATGTGATATGGCAACTTGAACTGATGCAAGTACGTACGAAGTTCCACGTTGTTACTGACTGACTGACTGTCATTATTTATAATGTTATGCAATCTTTTCAATACTTTCATTTATCACGTTTTATTTACTTGACCTTTTTTTCTTTTTTTATTTTACTCATCAAATTTATGTTTGTTTGTTTTTTCATAGAAAATATCATACGATAAGTAAACGGGTGTGTGTGTGTGACCAGGTTACTTATTAGGTAACGATTTTTTCTCTTGTTAATTAATTTCATCTTTGTTTCATTAAAACAAAGTAATATAATATTGATAGAATGTGGAATAGTAGACTGATGGAATAATCAAAGGAATTTTGTTCAATTTAATTGAAGAATTTCTTCATGCTTATTTTGAATACGGGGGTGTACATCACAAAGAAACATCTAGCTGTGTGGTATTAACCAAAAAATAAAAAGTACTATTTTCAATCGACTTCAGGTTAAAGTTGTCTACAGGCAAGATCTAACCAAACTGAATGTTATCTAAAAGTATAAATGAATTAAATGATCAGTTTATTCAATATAGTCAACCTAATGCAGCTGCAACAGCCTTTACATCAGTAGGCCTCAGTATACACAAAGGAAAAAGTATGGTCCTCAAATACAACATAGAGAACACTAAATGAATCACATTTAATGGAGAAACTCTGGAAGATGTGGAGTCTTTCATGTACCTGTGAAGCATCAATTATGAACAAGGAGGATCTGATACAGAGGTACATCCAAGGATTGGCAAAGCAAGGACAGAATTCCTACAATCGAAGAACATTTGGAACTTAAAACAACTGTCTGCAAGCCAATATCTATGTCACAATCTTCAATGCAAACGTCAAAACAGTTCTACTGTACAGAGTTGAAACTTGGAGAACTACTACAAACATCATTAAAAACTTACAAGTATTTATATACAATTATCTACGTAAGATACTCAATGTCCATTGGCCGGAAACAATCAGCAACAGCCTACTGTGGAAGAGGGTAAACCAGGTTTCATCTGAAGAGGAAATTAGGAAAAAACGTTGGAAGTGGATAGACATACATTACGGAAATCATCAAACTACATCAAGAAGCAAGTGTTAACTTCGAATCCTGAAGGGAAGCGGAAAGGAAGAAGACCAAAGAACACACTACGTCGGGAATGAGAAGCAGATATGAAAAGGATGAATAGCATCTGGAAAGAACTGGAAAAAATTGCCCATGACAGTGTTGGATGGAGAATGCTGGTGGGCGCCTATACTCCTCCACGAGGACTGACAGGCAAAGGTAAGCAAATAACCTTATAGTAAAATGGATAAATTGATTATAGGTTTTACACAGATTAAATCGTTCAATAGGATTATTCCGATGACGTAACAACACGAATCATAGAATTGGCAATTACGATTGTTGTATGGCCTGAAAATGTCAAGATTCATCTATGGATAATTTAAATATTATCTAGTTTTTAAGAAATCAAGACAGTGACAGTCTTGTGATTGAACTGTTATGTCCTATGACCCGTTAAAATTATCACATGGAAAAACCGCCAATCACAATACGGACTTCTATGACCTTGTTTCTGTGCTAAATCGATGATGCGTTGAATAGCATTAGCAGCCTTCAGTCAACTCTGAGTCCTTATTGGTCCTCTGTATAGTAGCCTCTCGCCTGACCTACCCTGTTGTGTCCAGAAAACAATCTCAGCCTCCACCGTATAAATCGTATATTTCAGACATGCTTAGTTTAGACAGAATCCAATCAGACCGTATTACATCACAAAATTAAAAAATAACAATTATACAACGTCATGCCAAAAGTGGCTACGAGTGCAAGAGACTGTAACTAATCTGTTGGGAATAAGTTAGGAATGGGAAATCGTATAACAGTAGCCAATAAATCAAAAGAAATCTTAAGATAAAAGAAATACATCTACATATATAACCTAGTTACGTAATAATTATCCAATATG